GGAGGAAGGGGTACCCCCGGGGTGGGGGGGGGGCGGGCCCGTGGGGTGCCCCCGGGGGAGCGACCTGGGGTGGACGGAGGCCCCATGGCGATCGCCCTTGGGGTACTGACTGACCTGCACGGGGCCTCTGGGACCGACCCCGAGGCTCTGCTCCACACCGGCAGGTCCAGCACCTCCACGCCGCGAGCCATGGTGCTGCCCGGAGCAGCCGGGGAACGAGGCCTCCCGCGTGGCGGGGAGAAGCGCCTTCTGAAGGGGCCCGGGCGGTGGAACGCCGGGGCGGCCGGCGCGCCCTCCACACCGCCCCCGGGCGGCCGGGCTGCGCACTCCCTGCCCTCGGGGGCTCCTGATCGTTCTTCCCTCCCTAGGTTTCTGCATTCTTTGGTTTTCTACATCCATTCCTTCGTTTATTTTTTTAAGTCATTTGTATTCGGATGCATTCACAACACATTGACTGAAGGCCAAGCCGAGGGCTGAGTACTGGGGACACTGGGACAGGAAGGACATGGCCCTTTCCCTCCAGGACTTCACGTTAAATCGACAGGTTCATTTGGACAAATTCTTTCATTCATTTGGCGTGTTTTTATTCTGAAGTGCAGGTTCACAAAACTCTGTGACAAAGGGCGTATTTCGGAGAGGTTAGAAGTGCTACAGAAGCAGAGGGGAAAGAAAAACGAATGGCCTTTCGGTCGCATTGGGAAGCCAGAGCGGGCACAGAGGGACGGAGCAGACCTTCAGGGTCCCAGCTGTGGACTGCGGGAGCCCAAGCTGCTCTTCCCGCCAGGAGCGCCAAAGCAAGACGCCTGTGGGAAACGGGACAGGAATCTCAGAGGTGAGGGTCGCTGTCGCTTACCCAAATGCCACGTTCAGCTAAGGGTGATGTTGGCTTGGGAGTCCGGACAGACCAATAGCCTCTCTTCCAGGGAACCCTATTCCTACTGATAGCAGCAAAGTCCCGGGTTCCAGGCTATTTGAATCAGCAAGTATTTAAAAGGTCTCCAGGCTTAATGAGGGCAAATAATATTCTGCCAGGTAATTATTTTAATATGCATCTCCAGGTAGAAGCAGTTGAATAGTATATAACATATATAAAAGTATACATAATTGACCTCTGTCCAGTGAAAGAAAAACACACCACTTAAAAGTTGTGAGTGAAGTTTTACTCCAGGAGCTTGCTGAGGACTATAGCCCAGGAAACAGCCTGTCAGATAGCTCTGAGGAACTGCTGCCAAGAAAGTAAGGGAGAAGCCCGGATATGTATGAATTTTCTGCTGGGGGAAAAAGAGATGTCCTGGAACATCCGAAGTTTACTGCTAATCACAAAGAGCAGACATCTCAAGTTAATTTTAGTGCTTTTCTATGAATGAGAAGAATCTGGGGTCATTGAAATTTTTCCTTAGATGTGATCTTAATATCTAGCTATAGTCAAAGCCCAGAATGCTTCCTCTTTTTCTCCATCCAGAATTCCTCTCAGGGTGTACTCTCCGTGGGTGACTGAAGTGGCTAATGGCTTGATGCTCACCGAACTGAAATGGCAGGTGACATTTTTTTTTTCTTTACGCCCCTTTTTGAAAGTCGCTTCCAGTAGGCTAATAGGGGAAAGTGCCTGATTTTTAGAGCCCCCTTCATCAGAGGTGCCCACTGGGTACAGACAGGCTTGAAAGATCCTGTCTGTGTGGTCGCAGTGCCTGCAGGTGGGTGCAACAGTGGTGCGGTTCCTTTTTAGAAGAAAAGGAGAGGAAGTGTTATGGCGCTGTTCTCCTGGGGAGGATGTGGACTCTGGTGAAAGAGGCAGACTGTGGCTTGACTGGAGAGTGTTGGAGGAAGTATGTTATAAGTAAAAAATACCATATTTATATATGTAGAATATATACACATACATCATATGTAGTATATATATAGTATCTATATATACAATTTTTATGCTAAAGAATTTTTAAGCCTTTTTAACCCAAAGAAAAGCCACCCTGAAGGGGCAGCCCTTAGCTTCAAAATGCTAGAACTCCACTAGGGGCTGCAATCCCTTTAGAAGGGGACTGTAAACTGGGGTAACATTTTTTTTTTATCAGCAAACTTCTCATTATGTATTTTCTAAGCCAAGGTAATTCTACTGAATAATTTTCTAGTAGGTAGTTAAAAAAAGATCCATTGTATAAAGAAGATGTGGTGTGTGTATATACACACACACACATATATACATACATATATATATACACACACACACAATGGAACACTACTCAAAAAAAAATGAATGAAATAATGTCATTTACAGCAATATGGATGGACCTATGGATTATCATACTAAGTGAAGTAAGCCAGACAGAGAAAGACAAATATCATATGATATCACTTATATGTGGACTCTAAAAAAAAAAAAAACACAGATGAACTTATTCACAAAACAGAAACAGACTCACAGGCATAGAAAACAAATTTATGGTTACCAAAGCAGAAAGGCTGGGGGAGGATAAATAAGGAGTAGGGATTAGCAGATACAAATTACCAAATATAAACAGATTAACAACAAAGTCCTACGGTATAGGGTGCACTCAGGGAATTATATTCAATGTCTTATAATAAAATATAGTAGGAAAGAATCTGAAACAGAATATACATATATATTTATAACTGTATCGCTTTCCTGTATACCTGAAACTAACAGCATTGTAAATCAACTGTACTCAATTTAAAAACAAAAAAGACGATCCATGGTTAATTTCGCATTTGTTAAAAACATCTACCATGAATAAGGACTCTGCTTCAAAAGGGGTCGGAAGTAAACCTGAGCCCTGTTGGGTTCCAAGGTTGATTTACATGTAATCTCACTGAATGCTTAGCATTCTGAGTACTGTCATCTCCCTATTAAAATGAGGAAATGTGTTCACAGAGGTTTAAGTTACTTCTCTGAGGTCACCCACAGAATATATAGTAGGTCCAAGATTACTAGTCAGATCTTTCACCCTCCAAAACCTTTATTCTCACCACACTGCTAAGACATGACTGACAACTGCCACCATTTGCAGAAGTTTCTATAAACAGTTTCGTATCTATAATAATCTATAAACAGTTTCACAAAGTGGAGAAGAGATACCTGTAGACAAATAGCTGTAACTGGCAATGCATATATTATTGATGGGCATAAAAGTATCATTTAAGAAATAAACAGTAAGCGAATTCTTATAAAACACTGTAGAGGGAGAAGTAGCTATGAAAGGCATCTCCAAGTATCTCAAATTTTAATGTGCAAATGAAACACCAGGGGATCTTACTGAAGCAGACTGATTCAGAAGGTCTGGAATAGGACTGCAGGGTTTGCAGTTCCAGCCAGAAGATGCTGCCCATGCTGCTGGTCCACTGCTCACTGCTGAAGTGGCGCGGTTCTAGGTTCTAGGAAATGTTTAACCTGAGTGTTTGAGGGAGTCGGGGATGGGAAAGAAGGTAGGAGAGTGAGAATGGAGGATAGTTGGAGTCAGATGGCTGAAAGCTGCGACTCTCACACACACTAAGACATAAAAATTATAGTTTTTAGGCACCAAATCTAACCATTCTAAATTGGTAAGTTCACAATAGGCATTGTTTTTCACTTTCAAGAAGTCACTTGTTTGTGGTAAAGATCCTGGCTTATTTCTCACTGGGCAGGAATAGTCATTGTTTTGTGCTATGCTTTGTTTCTTTCAAATGTCTGTGTTCTGTTCTGTGTATCATAGCACAAAAAATTATGTAGCCTGACTCAAGTCTGTAATGACAATAGCAAGTAACATAAGAATCTTTTGCTCCATAATGTACTAAAACGTAGAAGTTTAAATTTACAGAACTTTCCCTTGAATTTCTCTAGCAGGTTGCCTTCATATAAAATGACTTACAATGTTAAAGGGACTTTTGTAAGTAGTCTAAAGACATTAACTAAAGAAAACTACAGACCACAAGAGCATGAACACTGATGCAAAATCCTCAACAAAGGTCTTAGCAAATTGAATCCAACAATGTGTGAAAATAAACACACACCACACCACACGGGATTTACTCCAGGTATGCAGAGTAGTTCAACATCTGAAACTCAGCTAATGTAGTCCATCATACCATTGGGCCCAAGGAAAAAATCACCATCACATCAAGAGATGCAAATAAAGCATTTGACAAAATCCAATACCTATTCATGATTTAAAAAAAAAAACTGTCAGCAAACTAGGACTAGAGAGGAACAGCCTTAACTTGATGAAAAACATCTTTGAAAAAACTAAAGCTCACATCCTACCTAGTAGTGAGGAACCAGAAGCTTTCCAGCCAGGATTATGGGCCTCGTTACTAAAAATTAGGCCTTGAAATTTATCAGGGATTCCTGCCACAATCAGAAAGCGTGGAGAATCAGGAGAGAGATGTGAAGGTGCCAAGTCATTGGCCTTAAGGCTTGTGCTTTTGCAATTTTAAGCAATCTTTCTCTACCGTTTGGTCACAAATATCCTCTGCATTTTCCTATAATAGTTTAGTTTTACCCTTCATATCAAAGCCCATTTGTACTTCAAATTGGCATTTGATAAGAGATACGGAGGCAGCTCAATTTTTCTATGTAATGAAGTCCATTTTCAGCAAGCTATTCTATGAATCAGGGATTGGCAAGCCTTTTCTGTAAAGAGCCAGAAAATAAGTATTTGAGGCTTTGAGAAACATACTGCCATCTCTGCTGCAACTACTCACCTCTGCCCTTGTAATGTGACCGCAGGCGTAGACAACGTGTGAACAAAAGGGAGTGACTGGGTTTTACATGAAATAGTACTTTAATTTTTCAAAGATAGGTGGGTTTTTTTTAGAGCAGTTTTAGATCACAACAAAATTGAAGAGAAAGTATTGAGAGTGATACTCCCTGCCCCGACACAGGCACAGCCTTCCCTACTATCACATTGCACACCTGCGTGGTACACCTGTCCCAACAGATGACCCTACATTGACACATCATCACTCAAAGTCCAGACTTTCCATCAAGGTGCACAGACTCTTGTCACTGGCTGTAATTCCACAGCAGGAACACAATGCCGTTAGGGCAAAGCAAAACTCCAGGCCTGACACTGGGTCAGAGGTCTCACGCTTCCACTGAAATATTGCTCATCCAAAAACCTCACCAGGGGTAAAGTATTTATCAGATAATAAACATGATTTCAAAATTCACAGTGCATTCTAGCAAATTCTAAAGTGATTATGATACAAATGTTAGCGCTAAGCCAAAAGAAAAAAATATGCACCGAGAGATTCATATTTTCCATTTTTAAAAAGCCACAGGTACTACAAAAATAGCGTATGTTAATTGCAAAACCTCACATTTCAACACCCAGAGTCATTATTATGAAGGTGATTATGTTAAACAATAAGATTTCAGTGTCTCAAGGCTATTTTCATTTAGCTCTTAAAATAAAATTAAAAATTAACAAAACAAGAGCTTGCTTTGAGAAAACCTTATTGCATACCATTGAGTTAATTTCTTCTTGAATAAATAGCGCATAAAAAAGATTCATGTTGTGAAAATCCCTGAAACTTCCAATCAGAGGTCTGCAAGGAGTGGAGACTTTGCTTTTGTGTCTTTTTAAGGCATACATTTCCCACTTACTTTTAAATTTTGAGCATAATTGTTTTCTAAAATATTTTTACTGTGAGTTACAGAACTGCAGTTCCGAACGCTGAAACGCTGCTCTTTTTCTGTGAGACTGACTGTGTCTGGGAGGCGTAGGCTGTGCAAATACTAATAAAACCATCCCCATGGGATTGAGCCTGCCTGACGCATGCACTTTAATTTTCAGGGATGTACAGGATGCTCTTTCAACTTTGTCCTCTAACACTAAAGGAAAAGAGAAAACTTGTACATGAATACTCATTCTGATCTTCTCCAGAACAGCAGTATCGGATAATAGTTGTCCTTCAGACCCAAACATGGAACTGTTAGCTGGTAATGGTTATTTCTTTCTTATTCTTCCCTTTAAGAGATTTTTTCTTAAATGCAATGATTACAGCAACCATCCTCTCTCTCACGGCGGCCCCCTAAGAATGGTCTAGACCAGGGTTATGAGTTGCCTGAAGTCAGACCAGGTACTGTTTTCCACTGACAACAGAGGCAGCACAGCCAGAATAACCGGAAGCAAGCGTGTGAGAGCTCAAGTGAAGGGAGGCACGGAGAGAATACATTCCAAAGTGATGGAAAAATAAACAGTGAAGGACAAGAATCCAATAGTTTCCCTCACCAAGTTAGGGCTTTCTTTCTTTCTTTCTTTCTTTCTTTCTTTTTTATAAATAACCCTAACATAAAGTTGCAAAAACATTAACTATTTCTTTAAAAATATAAACATAGTTCTTGATGAATTATAGCCATCAATTTGCTCAAATAATAGTCTTCGAACTTACTACATCTGATCTTAAAACACCCATTTTGCCTCACCACTTGGCTACACATTAGAGTCCTCTCCAGGGCATAGATTAACCTGACAGCTACTTTTTACAACAGCAGAATATAGATCCTGGAGGGTCATCTTCTAATCTGAACTTTCCAGAATCAGGTAGATCTTTGCACTCTGATATAAACGTACGAAGTTCAGTCTCAGGGAAGCCGTCTTGTTGGTAATGCTATAAAGAAGAAAAAAAGTTTTCGTTAATAAGTCCCTTGAAAATGGCTTTATTTCAAATTCAAAGTGGATCATCTGGCAACAGAGGGGATCATCCTAAAGGGATAGTTTATTCACTTCCAAGGGTTTTCGTGGAGAGGGAGCCTCTCGACGCACTCGTGAGTTTGGCTGAGGTAAAGTGGGTGCAGGATCCTGAGGTGCCTCCTGGGCTCTCTTTTGAGGGTCTGATTCCACCCAAAATGTTGAATCTGAACCTGAGACCCCTCCCAAGTGGGAGCCAGTCTGCACACCCTTTTGGAGTCTGTCTTCCTGACAGACAGGTTTATTTCAGGGCCTCATGTTTATATCAGTTCGGGGGTCTAAGATCTCTAGAATGCGCCCTGACCAGAAAGGCTCAGAAAGGACTCACCCATCTGACAAGGGCTCTGAGCACATGGAAAAAGATTAACATCTAAACTACAAGCCTTAGGCTAGTGTCAAGAGTTGTCAACTCAGCTTACTCTTTAAGACCTTGGATGTCACCCTTGAATAATACAGAGTTCCCCGCACACAGAGCTGAAGGTAGCGCATTTTTTGAGCACCACGGGAGGGGATCTGGACAGGAACAGCTACATTCTTTCCAACTCTCCTTGGTGACTCTAAGCAAGTCTGCCAAGCAAGAATTGAGAACAGTCAGATCCTGAAGTCTGACTTGGTAAGAATGATGTCATAGCCCTGGCTTCATGAGCAAGGTATTTGTAATTATCAATTCATAATCCATCAGCTGCTGATGGCCTTCCTCCTTATCCATTCACATGGCATTGTGTTCCACCACCCTTCTCATGCTCAGAACGAAAATTCCCCAAGTGGACGTGTCGATGCTTGACATTAGGTTGTTAGGAAATTTAAACACATCTGGACATATATTCTGCCTTTCCATATTTCAAAAGGCTCAAACTGATTTTTAAAATATCCAGTGTGAGTGACAACATGAAAGGCAACAGCTTTTCAAATCATGTTCCTGACTGTGTGACGCACACACGGCCCATGCTTGACGTATCAGTCCCAACTCTGCTTTGGAGACCAGGCCTCTGGGGTGGCCCGTGCGGGGCCTCGCAAAGGGTAGTGGGGGTCGTTACAGCACACTCCAAATGAAGAGGTCGATCTCTTTACGAAAATTGGATTTTGAAAAGTTTCCCACAGAATTTTGACTGTCTGAAATGCCACCTGCTTCACTCACCCAATACCAGCTGATCCTTATAATTCTAATAAAAGGTTAGACAGCTTGTTTGAAAAAGCACAATTAGAGACAAAACTTCCAACATTCTGGAAATTCTACTTTCCCTTCCTTTCTGTTTCTCAGTGTCTAAAATTGAAGGCCTTCTTCCCTACCCTGAAGAAATGACCACTCCATCAATGCCTCTCCCCTGCAGGCACTGTATTTTACTGCCACTCAAAAAGTCCTAGAAAAATGCTGCCTCTCCTGGTTCTTGACGAACCTACCTTAATCGTTTCGTATGTATCAGTGATCAGTGCGATAAAGAGGCTTAAAATCATGTAGATAAAGAGGCTGATGAATGAGTAGAGGTAAATTCTGCTGAACAACCAGACCAAGTAACTTTTTCGCTGCATTTTGGCAAATGTGGCAAACATATCATCTCCATTTATCAGAGAGAAAAGGCACTCAGAGACCATGTTCAGAGAACGGAACTGGAAAAACAAAAGAGAAAAGTTCATTTTACTACGTGTTCCTTCCCATTGGAGACTTTGATCGTGACACCATATTAAAAATAATGGGACCAGAGATCCCAAGTTACCTATTCAAAAAAGCAACCAGGGTAACTACAAGCATTTTTTTTTAAACAAGAGAAAAATCACACACAAGTTTAGTAACATGTGCACACTGGAAAGACCCAGGAAAACGGAATCACTTCTAAAAAGCATTTCTTCTGTGAAACACGTAACATGTATAAGCCTACAGTTTTTCTTGGAATAGGCAGTTCCTTCTTGGTGCTCCTCTTAAAAGGAGCAGCCTGAGCTGAAGACAGACGAGTTGGTCTGCAGCCTCAGTGTTTTTCTGAATCAAGCCTTAGAATGAGATCCTCCCCTTTACCTCCCTAGAAAGAGATTCTTGAAATGCTTCTGCAGAGAAACCCAGGTCCTGACCATGCATGCTCATGGTTCTTGTTTTAAAGTTCATTCTATTCAAGATGATGGCAATATAGCCAAGACTATAACTCTGATAAACAAAATCTTCAAATATTTCTATGAGTTTCTCCTGACTACTTAAAAAAAAATAAAGTCACATTTCGAGAACTTACCTAAAACAGCCCACTCTGATATACACTGATGAATCAAATGGACAAACTTAACTTTGCTGATGGTAAGAATGACTTAATTATCTGATATATTTCACCAAAGGAGTTGAGGCAGCCAAGTGAATCACTTATTCTCTCGAGCTGGTCCTACTTTAGCAGCTTATAAACATGGCAAAAGATGTACTACCTTCAACATCTTAAGGCTGTGTCACCAAGTAAAAGGAGCTTATTTTAAAAGAACAACAAGCCACTGGCACTATGCTCAGTGCTTAATAGCAACAGGAACAAAGCTGCTGTACCTTTTCATGGTAAGGCCCCAGCACAATCCAGCCACAGAAGCAATAGCCTAAATAAATCATAGCCGCACAGCAGCAGAACCTGATGACGCTGGGCAGCGCTGCCTGCAGGGTCAGGATAAGGAGCTGGGAAAGCAAAAGAAGTCATTAGAATCCCCTTGTCCTTCAGACAAAGCAGAGCAATCACTTTGAAAGAGAAAGAGCAACAGCTTGGAGACCCATGGAACTCCTTACATTGTACTTCTGAAAGAAACCGAGGTATCGGATGACTCCGAGCCACACCAGCATGGTAGAGGTCCCAAGGAGTATGCTACAGACATCATAACTTGTTAGACTCTAAACAGAGTGGAAAAAACAATCATTACAGAGTAGAAATTCATTTTGGCAAAAATTATTTATTGGGAAGCAATGAGTCAAGCGTTGTTCCAGGACAAAGCAGTGAACAAAGTTCTGTGCCCTCATGGCGCTTATATTCTACTATGGGGAGAGAGATGAGAGAAATAAATTAACAAAACCCTGGGTACATTAGCTGATGGTGAGGGCTGAGGATAAAATTCAGGGGTGGGGATAAGGAAAGGCTGTGGGTTGCATTTTAAATAGGGTGACCAGGGACAGTCTCACTGAAAAGGTGGCATTTGAGCAAACACATGAGGAGAGGGAGGGAGCAAGCCAAGCAGAAATCTAGGGGAAGAGCTTTCCAGGCACAGGGACCAGCAAGTGTGGCCGCCTCAAAGCAGGAGGGTGCCTGGCAGCACAGTGCGTCTGGCTGGGGTGAGCGAGGAGGAGGCGGGGAGTGTGAAGCCACAGAGTGAGGGGGCAGGTAGTTTAGGGCCTCACGGGTATAATTTAACAATTTTGCATTTTACTCTGAAAAGATTGGGGAGATTTGAGAACTCTGCCCAGGAGTGATAGGATCCAATGCTGGGTCTGCGGCTGGGAGCAGATTGTTAGAAGAGGGAGATGGCTATGCAATAATACAGATGAGAGCTGAAGGTGGCTGGGGCCAGGCTAGTAATGGTGGAGGGGATGAGGTGATTCCTGCAGCAGACAAATAGGATTTCATCTTGGATTAGATATGGAGGAGAGGGGTAAGTCAAAGCGAGGAGTCAAGGATCAATCCATGGCTTTTGTCTTGAGCAACTGAAAAGAGTTGCCATTAACTGAAGTTAGAAAGGCCATGGAAAAGTGGCTTTGGACTGTAGAAGTGAAAATTTCAGGACCTCTGTTTCAAGTATGTTAAATTTGAGAGGCCAAACAGACATCCAGGTGAAGATGTGAAATAGACAGCTGGATGGTCGGGACTGGAGTTCAGGGAATAATTCCAAACTGAGGATATAGATTTGAAAATTATTGAACAATAAATACTATTTAAGACAATGGGACAGGATGAGATCAAAAGACAGGTAGAAAAGAGGTGGTGTCCAAGTAACACACCTTGAAGCACTGCCACTTTAACAGGTTGGTGAGATGAGACGGAACCAGCAAAGGGAAGCCAGAAGACCAGCCAGTGATTTAGGAGAAAAACCAGGTAAGTGACAGCCCAGTGAAAAAGTTCATCAACAAAGAGGGAGTGCTTGCAGTGGTAAAAGCTACAGGTAGGTCAAAATGAGGCTAGATAACTACTGGACTTAGCAACATGAGAGGTCACTGGAAAACACACTTTCCGTGGAGTGGCAGGGCAGCCTGATGGGAAGAGATACAAGAGAGAATAGGATGAGCAGGGTCAGAAACAAGATTAAAGACTCTTTTGAGGTTTTTTGCTATATAAAGGGGAGCAGAGAAATGGGAAAGTAGCTGAAAGGAGAACAGGTTGAGATTTTGTCTTTTTAGAAAGGAGAAAAAACACATGCTGATGGAAATGACATGGCAGAGAATGAGAAACTGACGCTGCCAGACAAAAGGAAGACTAGATGGAGCTCTGCCCTGGAGCAAGCGAGCGGGGACGGCGTCTGACAGGCACGCGGAGGAGCTGGCCTCGGAGAGTCACTGCACAGTACATCCACAGTAACAGAGGGAAAGCAGAGTGTATGGGCACAGGTGCCGGTAGGCAGATAAATGAAGTGGGAGTTTGTGGAATTTCTGTTTTTTTCTATTGTTCTGTGAAATAGGAAGTGAGGTTATCAGCTGCGAGTGAGGATGGGGCAGGAGAATCAGAGGTTTCAACAAGAGAAAAAACCATGAAATTATTGGCTATAAGACAGGGGGAGTGAATGATTTAGAATAATGCAGAAAGATTGTTGAACACCATTAAGGGCTCATTGAGGTTAATGAAAATAAAGATTTGCTGCAAATCTCCCCTTCCTACTCTTTTTGTTGTTGTTGTTCTCTAAAGTTAAACGTCTACTCCAATGATATAAACTACTGCTGTAAATAGTGGCAGCTGCTCCGTGTCCTCGCTTTAAACCCATTCTCACTTACTGAGGTGCATACTTGGACTGTCTCCCCCAACTCCCTTGCAGTTAGTTTGATGCGACTAAATTCTCTCTGGTAAAAATGAACAGAAATGAAGGCTGCCATTCCTAAGCCAAGGCTGTAAGACTGTGAGAGACCTACCACCATACCGCGTTGTCCCTTCCATGGGCTGCAACCTGTTTGTAAGGAACCTGGCATCAATCATGCAGTCTGGGTGAGTCCTTAATGCTCAGCAGAGAAACAATGGGAGAATCCTGGGTCCCTGAATGACTGCGTGGAGGTGAGCAGTCGTCTTGCCAGCCTGGAAAACCCACCCTAACTATTACACGAGGGAGAAATATGCTCCTGTCTTATCTGAGCCATTGCATTTGGGGTCTCTGCCCAGGAATCTGAACCATAACAGGTCCCCCACATGGATCATAGTCAGTTGTAGTCAAGGCTAGAAAAATATGAATTTGAACAAGATTAGCTTGAACAGTACTAGTTTTTTTAATTTGCTTTTTGCTAGGGGGAAGGTCGATATCCAGGCTGGGTTAGTCCTAACTTAAAATGGAAAACCTTCCAGTACATCAGTGGGGAAAGTAAGAAAATGGGAAAGTAAGAAAATATTCTCAGTGTGAATGGACAAAGCAAACAGCTTCAAGCACACACACAATAGTAGCCTGGCCTCATCCCCGCATCCAGTCCTACCCTTTCGGCTGGAGATTCTGGCATTTCTCATAAGAACAACAGAACTACCTTTTACCTTAGTTACCTTGGTGTGTATGACTTTGGCGTGTGTAAGAATTCACAGCCTCCACCTCCAGAGTTCAAATTTGGTAAATCCAACACGGGGTACTTTTACCAGTCACTCAAATGATTCTAATGCAGAGGACTGCAGATCATACTTGGAAAAACTCAGCCTAAGGGATTTCCTGACTAGATTTTTTAAAAATTGCTGTTATTTCAGATTTACTCAATACAGTGTTTGAAAGAAATCATTTACTCAACAAATTCTTACATTTTGTAAAAATAAATGACTGTTAATGCAAATCTGATACTAACAATGGCATAAATAGGAAAAAATTTTACCTTAGCTTGGATTTCCATTTTCAGAATTGATCCAATAATTGTCAATATGTCACTAATAATAATCATAATATACCACCCATTGATGAATTCCATCCGATCAGAAACAGAAACGTCCTTCTTATAATGGAGGAGGAAAAAACTGACAAATTCCTTTAGGGAAAAGAGGGAAGGCACAGTGAATTTCTCTGTCAATCAAAAAATAAAGTCCATCGTATTCCTAGAAAACAGCGACCCCTACCTGCTGAAGCTGAAGTCCTCTGACCATAGATCGAACACACAGGATTAAGGAAGCCAAGCATGTGAGAATAACAAAGGCATCAAAGATCATCATGTAGTGAGTGTTCTTCTGAACTGGAAGGAAAAAGGACTGCCTTCTTAGCCAGTGGGACATTAATATGCTGACATATAATCCTTCTTTTTCCTTTTCATTTCTAGCCTCATTTATTCTAATTGCTGCACTGCATACTTCAGTACAGATGTACAATACTTTGTAAAGACACTTGGGTTGTAATGTGTTTTTCCCTACCACAAACCATTCTCCAGGTCCTGTTTGTGCACAGGGGCAAGTGATTCTTTTTTTTTTTAAGTATAGTTGATTTACAGTGTTGTGTTAATTTCTGGTGCACAGCATAGGAATTCATTTATACATATTATATATATTCTTTTTCATATTCTTTTTCATTATAGGCCATTACAAAGTACTGAATATAGTTCCCTGTGCTACACAGTAGGACCTTGTTGCAAATGACTCTTTAAGTGGATGAATATCCAAAGATGGAATTGTGGGTTAAGGTATATGTATCTCTCTAAAAACAAATCTAAGAACTTGCTCTCCAAAAACATCACGCCAGTTTACATACCTACACGCATCTCCACATTTTCTCCATCTTCGGGTATCAGCATTCTTTACTTTTTTCCAATCAAAAAAGCAAATGATTTGAAATGCCATCTTTATCATGTACCAAACTGCTGTTTGTATTCAAGCACCATATCGTTCCCTTCTGATGTTTTTGTGTGTTTTAATGCCTAAGACAAATACGTCTCATTATTCTTTCCTAGAATTTCCGCTGGCTATTCTTGGCTTGTTTATTTTTCCATATATTCTTTAGGATCAAATTGTTAAATTCCAATAAAAATCCTACTGGTAATTTTGGGGGGGAAATACGTTAATGTACCGATTAACTTAGGGAGAACTGACATATTCATGATGTTGAATTGCTTGTCCAAAAACATGATGCGCCTTTTCATTGATTCAGGTCCTCTTCTTGCATCCTTCAGAACCATTTTCAAATTTTATAGGATCCTTCACACTCATTTTTAGAATAATTTAAATAACTCAAGCATTCATTCCACGAAGACAACAAAGAGAAAAAGCTCTGATACACATTCTTCCATTAGTAGTAAAAGAAGGTTTAAAGTCATTCTTTTAAAAATCACCACAACCATCAATCAAAGCTCTGTAAATCAGCTTGTAGTCTTTTGTTCTTAATACAGGTAGGGCCTTTCCTATCTCATTAAAATATACTTATCTAAGTATAAAATACTTCTTAAGCACCAGATGTGTTTCTACATGCTGTGAATACAGCTGTGAGCCAGGAAGACAATGACCCTGACCTTGTGGAACTTCTATTCTGCTCCATTGAGACAAACAAAAAGGGAAACAAGTCAATAAACAAAACACTTTCAGGTAGGAGTGCTATGAAGAATATAAATCTGAGCAGCTAACGTGCACTGAGTGCATTTCTTGCCAAGCTTAATTCCAAGCATCTTAAAGGGTTTAACTCATTTGCACCTCAAAGCAGTCCCTACAAGGTGGGTATGATTATCCTTGCTCTGCAGGTGAGAAGACAGAAGCGCAGAGAGGCCACAGAGCTTGGCCAGGGCTCCACAGCCAGTCAGTGGCAGAGTCAGGATTCAAAGCCTGGTCTGTCTCCAGCATCTATCACTCTGTTCTTGGCATCCCTTGTTAGAAATGCACACTCTCCTGCCTTACCCTAGACCCACTGGATCAGAAACTGCACTTCCCTAAGCTCTCCGGGGAACACCTGAGCACTGTTGCTGAGGGAGCTTGGTGTGGGGAGCAGGGAGAAGACAGGCTCACGAGTACTGCACAGTGGAGGAAGGCCTCACCAAGGGGCGGTAGGCTTTAGCTGAGACCCGAGTGACGAGACGGAGCTACCCATGCAGAGGTGCTGAGGGCCCGTCCTCCAGATGAGCACAGCCAGGTGAAGAGGGGTGGGCAGGGAGGGCTCCCCATCACGTGCTCTCTATAAGCTTGTCTTTCCTTGATAAGTTAGATTGCCCTGAACAGACGGAGAGAACTCAAGAGCAGCTCCACAGTGAAGCAGCCCTTTAACGTTGTCAGGAGGCATCTAGTTTAGATACACGAATATCTAAATCTACTCTAGAAAAACCTTTAAATCCAAGAAACAGACATTTGCGAGAACGTCTACACGCCCGGCACTTCCCTGTGTTCTCACTTTCCCTATTCCTAAATTTGTGGAGAAGTCGTCCAACGTTCACAGGTGACAAAGCAGGCTTGTGTTCCAAATAAACAATTTTGTGATTGAAATAAAAGTTTGTGACTCAAGATCCTCATATATTTGAAATCACCTATTAGTGAAAAAATAGTAGAATGAAGTTTTGTTTTATTTACTTATACTCCTCATTACTACTCTGAACTTCCTGAATCCATCAGTAGGAAACCCTAAAGCAGTCATTTATCCAATTGCAGTCTGAATAAGGACTCCCCGCACGTCCCTAGGCCCCGCCCCAGACCTGCCGACTATCTCCGTGGAGCCGGGGAAGCTGCAGCTCAGCAGGCCCCAGGGTTGATGCTTCTGCTCCCTTGAAACTGAGACTCCCTGACAAAGCCTCGCACAACACACTGTCGCTTACCAGGGCCGAGGAAATGAGACAGACAGCTTCCTCCAATTCCACTCCCAAACTTTCAGTGGTACTCAGTTTATACCTGAATTTGTGTCCATATTTCTGGGAACATACCCTTTCCTCATTTAGTCTCCTTTTTTTTTTACCTAGGTAGAAGATAATTACAACATGTAGGATGCTTCAGGGTCAAATCCTACCTGACCTCTCCCTGCCTGTGCGACTGTGGACACCAGAACTTATGTCGGAGCCTTAGCTTCTTCATCTGTAAAAACAGGGAAGCTGCCTACCTCAAAAATGCTTTAAAATATTAAAGTGAGGGAAATGTAGGTGGAAGTACTTATGCAGTAAGCACTCAGTAAATACTGGTTTCACTCTATGTGATTTTTTTTTTTTTTTGCTGGGGTGATAGTACCCTTTTTTTTGGTAAGGAGTGGGCCAGTGAAGGTTACATGGAGAAAGCAGGAAAAGCCATTTCAATGAATAATAACTTAGGAATTACTTGGAACACCAGATAACTACAATGAATTGGTCTACTTGCAGAGAAGTAGGGACTTGGGTATGGTCCAGTTCTTGCATTTCATGTTCCAAATATCCCTGGGACCAGTAATTTAATGACTATTTAATATTATTTAATAACCATCTTGAAAACTAGTAAAATGCATCACTTACTTGATCCAGATACATGCCAATCTCTACATTCTCTGATGGAAATGTCATTATCTAAACTTATTTTAATTCTTCCACTGTGGGCTTTGTTGTCAAATGTTATCTGTGAAAAACAGGAAAAGAGTAAATAATATACCTATAGGTTTTAAAGCCAAGATACCTCTATGCATTTATTAGGAAATAATTCTTCCAAGATTATGGGAGACTCAGATTCTCAGCTTCGATCTACTGCTAACTCTGTTCAGCCTTGGGAAGTTCCCTTTATCTCTCCGTGAGCTGAGAAGGTTGAACTAGATCTTCTACAGAGAATGCTTAGTCTCTAAACTCCTGTTTCTAGGACAGTATTTAAGCCCTAAACCACTTAGAAAACAAGACAGCTTCCCTCTCCGTCCCATTCTAAGCATCTCCATTTGCCCTCTTGAAATGAGAAGAGCGGGTGCAAGTGTGCCTTCCCCGCCTTCCAGCTGGGCCTCAGCTGTGAAGATTTTTAATGCTGTTGTAATTCTTACTAACACAGAGGCTCATTATCTCTGTGTTGAAATATTTCAGATGGAGCTTTTTTGATTTTCCTCCCGGGACTAGAATTCTTTGTCACTTTAGAACCGTATGTATTACAAAGGGTGTGGTCACAGGGAAGCAACAGCCATGTCTGGCTTCAATGATAACCATTTCAGGACACCAGGCACCAAGGGGGACAAAGCCATGCCAGGACACCCTTCACATTCTTCCAGTCTTCCCCTTCCAGCTCCCTCCACTTTCCCCTTGCAGAGACCAGGAAGGCAAGGTAAGAAAATTAGTCTGTTTTTTCTCTTTATCTTTTTATTGCCTCTTCTCTCAAGTCCTAAAGAAAAAAAAGTTATCTTAAAGTCTGTCATTTAAATGAGTTTTACTGAAGATCCTTCATGTGGGATAATCAGATACCACATCAGATATAAGATTTCAAATAAGCTTAATAGGTCTAGCTACTCCATTTCTTCTCAAGTTAGACTCCAAGTTTTTCCCATGATAAGCAACCAAGGACATTGTTAGTGTCTACCCATCTCTATAGCCCTGAGGGACCTAGCCCACAGCCTCACACAAGGAAGATGCTCAGTATCATCTGAATGAGTCAGAAATCCTTGCCAAGGAGAAACCATGCTTTTCCATACAAAGAGCCTCAGGGTCTTACAAATAGTAGGTGCTCATTAAATATCTGTTGAGTGAATAAAGTTTGCCTTAATGTCAATCACATCTAAGTAAAGCTTAGAAGATGAATTCTTTAAAGAAGAAGAAAAAATACTGGATATAATTAACAACAGATATTAAGATATCATAATTCAGAAAAAAAATTGGTGAATTTGAAGACACAGCAATAGAAACTATCCAGAATGAAATACAGAGAAAGAAGACTGAAAAATAAAACAAAAAAGAGATCTGTGGGACAACTTCAAGTGCCTAAATATACATGTATTGGAATCCCTGAAATGTAGGGGAAAGAAACAGAAAAATATCTGAGGAAATAATACTGAGTAAATGTCAAATACAATGAAAATTATAAACCTACAGACCCAAGATACTCAGTAAACCCCCAAAATAAGAAACATGAAGAAAACTACATCAAGACATATCACAGTCAAATTGTTAAAGTCAGAGATAAAGAGCAAATTTTTAAAGCAGCCAGAGGAGGGGAAATACATCCCATACAGAGCAACAAAGATGGAGACAACAGCTGGCTTCTCTTCAGAAATAATCCAAATTAAAAGAGCAACATCTTTAAAGTGCTGGGGAGAAAACAGTCAACCTAGAATTCTATACCTAGTGAAACTGTCTTTCAAGAGTCAAGATGAAATGTTTTTTCAGACCCATGGAAGCTGAAAGGATGTATTTATTACCAGACCTGCTGCACAGTATGAAATGTTAAAGGAAGGAAAGTGATACCAGATGGGAACGTGGAGCCACACAAAGCAGCGGAGCGCTCTGGAAACAACAACACGGGCTAATATAAAGACGCTTTTATTATTAAGTTGCTTTAAAGGGTAACTGACTGTTTAAAATGAAAGTAACAATAGTGTATTGTTCCAGTTTATATCTGGAAGTAAACAGTATGACAACAAAAACATAAATGCCAAGATGGGAGAAATGGAAATCTGTTGTTGTTAGGTTTTTATGGTGCACATGTAGTGGTGCACAGTCACGTGAAGGTAGGCTGTGATAAGTTAAATATGTATACTATTAACCCTAAAATAATACAACAGAGAGTTGTAGCTAATAAGCTAACATATGGGATAGAATGGAATCCTAAAAAAATACTCAATTAATCCAAAAGAAGGCAGAAAAAGAAAGAAACCATATTAATAATCACATGCAATTTAAATGATATAAGCACCTTAATTAACAGGTAGAGATTGTTAGGTTGGATAAAAAAGCAAGACTCAACTGGTTAGGATGCTGCCTAACCAGAAACCCACTTTAAGACACAAATAAGTTTAAAAGGATGGAAGAAGATATGCCATGCTAATACTAATAAAAAAAAAAAGCTGGAAGGGTTGTATTAACATCAAAGTAAATTTTAGAGCAAAAAATACTACCAGGATTAAAGGGTGCTATTGCATTAGGCTAAAAGAGTTACACAAGAGTGAACACAGGACCATAGCTGTGTATACACCTAGCAGAGAGCTTTAAGATACATGATGCAAGAACTTATCAAACGGCTGTGAGTGAAGGCTAATGCACCACTTTTACACTATAAATCCACTGGGCACACAGAGCATAATAAATAGCTGTTGAATGAATCAAATACCTACTATATACCAGATACTTTGGTAGGTCCTTCATATGTGTTATCTTCTATCTTGACAACAATTTTGTCAGGTAAGTGGGCATTAATTCTGTTTTACAGGTGAGAAAACTGAGGCACAAACCAATTAAGCAATTTGCCTACAGTTACACAGCTACATAACTGCTACTAACTGGTGAGCTGACCTTGAAATCTAGGCTTGCGTCACTCCAAAGTCCTTTTATATCAGGTTTTATATCAGGCATATGCTGCCCCAGTTCATCTTTACTTAACGCAATAAAGTTGGACTAATGGCTTTTATTATCAAACTACCTTATAGGATATAAGTTATACCATAGCTGTATGAGATGTGCTGCTAAATCCACAAAGCATGGGATAGCTCAGAGTGATTCTACAATAATGGCAAAGATATAACATCTTCAGGTAGCAAAAGGCCAGGTTGCTCTTACCGTTGTAGTGAGTCATGAGAAAGAATCTGTATTTCACAAGCATTTCATTTACTCAGTCAACAAATATCTGAGTCATCTACTATGTTCTCTGAAGGATGAAAAGATAAATAAAATGGTTCCTGCCTTCAAGGAGCTTTCAGTCTAGCAGAGTTGATGATAAACACCAAGAAAATCCTAAAGCAGAGAAGGTGGTAAGACACACAAAATACAAAAAGGAAAACAAAATCTGGGAGTTCAGAGCACAGAATGTGTTTCTAATTGAGGAATCACAAAGGGGTCTGAAAGATTATAAAACTTCTGAAAAGTGCAATTTCTCCATGAGAGACAGAGAGAGGAGAGAGAAGACTGTGGATAATATGTCAGTTTTTAAAAAATCAAGTAATTTTGAAAATTTATAACTTGCTGATTACTATTAGGATCAAAATTGGAGCCCAAATAAAAATAGTTTTATAGTTAGTGCTTTTTCTTATTAAATGATATGCATAATTATTACTTTATACTATATTCTGAGAATACTTTTAACCTCAATCTCGGAAAATTTTATTTCTTACAGCCAGTTGAGCATCATGGACACAGCCTTTGATACAAACTGTTGGTGAAGTCATAGAAGTTTGGATCCTGTGCAGGCGAGTTGTTACCAAATGCTGTCCTGCACCTGCCAGTACAGTATCACGTTACTGACTGATCTTCGTGAGGTGATGAACTCACAGGGGAGGCATCACTGTGCTCCTTAATACCAGCAGATGAAATACATAACCAGAGAAAACTGTTTTTCTCCAGGCAGGAACCAAATTCAGCCCAGCCCACACTTACAGTCAGGGCAAAGTCGTAACAGTCAGGGAGCTCGTGATGACGAATGGTCTGCAGATTAATGGCCTTCAGTTTAAACTGCAGCTCCATTGTTAGGAGTCTGGAAGACAGGAGACTTTAGTGCAGTGAAAACACACACACACAAACACAAGCTATGCTCCCACCTGCCTCCCTCACCTGTGAAAGTCCAGCGTCAAGTTGAGCTTATTCTCTTCTAGTGTTCCAACGTGAAGAGGTTCGTCTGGCTCAACAAAGAAACATTCTGCCACAGAAAAGAATGAAACATAACACAGCATCTAAACTAAATACACGGAACTGCATCTTGAAAGGATCATTTATTTAAAACTAGATCATTCAGATTCTGGTATTTTCCTGAATGAAGATTTTTAAAGCTAAACATCCATACCACAGGGTTACAGTGACTCATTCGTTTTTAATACGTAAGTGACCACAACATTTCCGGAGTGGATGGGGGTAAAGACAGACCTGAACTCTCTCACTAGGCTTCCAAAGAATGCTATCTTCCTTTCTGTCTCTTTAAGCCCCTCTCCATTTTTGTGTCTTAGGCATAGGTTTGAAGCACCTGCAGTGTCTAAGATCAAAATGTTTGTTTAAAGGATCTATTTTTTAAAAAATTATATATTGACAATTTTTCCTCAATGAACGCTTTTTTTAAAAAAAGGAAGAAAGTATCTCAGAAGGTTTTCATTAGCCAGTACCATAATCTTTTACTATTCTTCTCAAAGAAAAAGTCCCAGTGGCTATTGTTAAAGGTACTTACTTTTTAACTCAGTGACCTAAGCTAATGTTTTACGTACAAACTGCAAATGGCACTTTGCTGATAAGAATAAGCTCTGTTATTCCACGTTCTGGTTCTCATTCCTCCCCAACCTACCGCCGAAGATACTGATAGTGCAGCGCCCTGACGGGAGAGAGTTTTACCTACATCAAGAATTGTGAAGCACACCGTTCTGGAAGGACAACACCTGTCTTTCTGACTGGCTTGTCAAGCCCCAGGGCAGTGGAATCTAGTGGCCAAGAGCACAGCCTGGGGCAGATTTCAGCACTGCCTCTTACTAGTTTCACCTTGAGCAGATCACCTGTCTCAGCCACACTTTAGTCTTCTATAAAATGGGGATAATAATAAACTTCCTTTTTTTTTAAGAGTCATGAGTTATAATGAAGTACCTGACTCATAATAATTTGATATAGTTCTTACTATGACCTAGTAGCACAGACTGAATCAATGTTTCCAGAGATGAAATTACAGATTTTAAGCGTAAGTCAAGGAGTTAAAGATGGAGGTGCTGGCTTATAGAAGAACATCACCAGTTTCAATATCTGGATCAATGTCAAAGGTAGCGTTTCCAGGCCAGATGTTTCCTTGCTTGTAGAAGTGCTGGCAGACTGCCAGAGCCGACCGCTCCGCGCCCTTGCTCTCGTAGGCGTGATTCCCAACAGAGATGTTGCGGAGCTGCAGGTACTTCAACCGGAAGGAGAAGCAGAAGTCGGAAGCACTCAGCCAGGCAGAAGTAAGGCCATGACTCCCCTCCCTCCTCGCCTTTGAAACGGCAGGTTCCCGCCTCCTGTCCAGGGGGAGGTTGGCACACTGGCATGCAGAGTAAGCGACAAGCCACTGCGCACCAGGACGGCGGAGGGCGAAGGGCACTCGTGAATTAACTAGACTTCTGAGTTGAAGTCTCACTTCTGTGCCTTGAGCAAGTCATAAACTTTCTGAGCCTCTGCTTTATAATCTGCAAAATTAAAGGCTTAAGCCATATACTCTCTGAGGTTCTTTTCTCCTTTAAAGAATTACATTTAGGAACTGACTTTGACAGTGTGAAATACAAGTTTTATTTATCTTTGAACTATTATTTCCTCTAAGGTCAGAGTTTTGTTTTACTATAATATAGGAAGGGGGATACAACTGTTCCAGGCTAACCAGCAAAACTTTTTCTAAAAATAATATTTTTAAAATCTTTATCTTCGCAAGAATACAGTTTAGTCACTTTTATAGCAATATCCCCCTTCTAAAAGCCCTTCCATGGCTTCCTGTCTCTCAGAACAAATTTCAAAATTCTTTTCCAGGGCCTGTTAAGCCCTGAGAGATCTCGCCCTGTTTCTGCCCTCCTGCCCCTCACTCCTCTGCACACTTGCCTTAAACATACTAAGTGTTTTCCAGCCTCAGGGGCCTTTGCTGTTGCCACTCCTTCAGCCTGAAATATTCCCCCCCAGACTTCAAGTCCCCAGAGAGGTCTTTCCTGACCACCCTGAGGCCTCTGCTAATATTTTATGCTACTTAATTTTTTTTCATAGCACTCATCACTGTTGGAAATCAAGTGATTTTGCTTAAACTTGTTTAAAATCCGTATCTTCCATTAGAATGTGAGTTCCATGCAACAAGGAATTTATCAAGTCTACTGCTCTAACCCTTGCACTTAGAACAGTATTGTAAGCAAATAGGGTAGGGGGTCCCAGAGAATGAGACCCAGGCATGGCTTTCTTGACATAAGAGAAGCCATATTTGGCCTAAGCCATTTTGGGACGTAACCTGGCCATGGTGCTGGTTCTTGAACTGGTCTCAGTAATTAATGAGCTTAAGGGAACAAAAGGAAGCAGAAACAAATGACTGTTATCAGACAAGAGAAGGAACAATAACAAAGATAATTTAACAGCTGTAAAGACTCCCAGTTCTGTTTCAATGGTAGGATTAGCCGGAAGTGCTCAACCACCAGATCAACTAGAACCTAACGAGGGATGAAGGTAATCTTTTCTGAACCTCGTGACTTCAATCAGCTACAGCTTGGACTCTGTGACCACCCAAGCCCCTTCATGAATGTGCATGTACCCTTAGCTTAAAACTTCCCCCATTTTACTGTTCTGGGAGACACTGCTTTGGGAAAGGTCCTCAGTGTTCTCCTTACCTGCTGTAAGTAATAAACCCTCCCTTCTCCCAGTCTTTGGCTTGGTTGTGTCTTTTGGCTCGACGTCCACCAAGGGGCAAACCCAGTTTCCAGGTAACAGTATGAGGCACAAAGTAGGTGCTCAAATATTTTTGTCAAATTAACAGTGAGATGAAAATTACTATAATGGGATAGAAGATCTTCACTCACTAGAGTTAATCTTGCACAGTAGGATGGCACACAGCTAGGACAGGATTTGTGACTGTGGCACTGGTCTTTCTGGTAGCACTGGGAACATGAAAATGGGCTGGGAACAGAATTAAGCTGCATAGAGTGTTAAATAGCATTATGTCCTACATATAGGGGGAAACAGAATAATGCTGGAGATGCTCAGTTTTGAGCTGTTTGTTTTCCATACAAGGAAATAAGTGTATTAAGTCTTTCTAAAACTACTCTGAGCCAAACTGGTAGTTTTATAGTGGGGGGGGGGTAGTAAGAGGTAAACAGTACATTAAATGAAAAAGGAGATAAAAGATACTGAATGTGGTAAGGTAGCAAGGAGATCAGTGTGCCTGGAATGCGGGGTGTGTAACAGGGAGATAAAGCCAGAAAGGCAAGCCAGGGTCATGAAGCCGTCACATCTGTATGGGGCCCAGTAGCTCTTCTGAGTGCTCACTACCTGTGAGGCAGCCCACACGGCAATTACCCAAAGATCTGAGCCTTCCACCACGGACACTTGTGTGTCTTAAATCTTGTAAGATCCTGAAACACAAAAGATCCAAGGTGCAGGGTTTCAGGTACATGCAGACATTGTAAGCTATACTACGGCTAGACTGCCTTGCCGTCCTCATAAGGCTCTTTGTGGAGGTCTGAGCACCTGCAAGAGTTGGATGGTGTGGACTAAGAGTGTTGCCTGCCATCAAGCCATCAGCCACTGCAGTGGTGCTGAGGTTGTGACCTGAGGGGAAGTCAGGAGGGAGAAAAACAGGATACTAGCCCCAGGTAGTTAAGATGCATATTAAAGGAACCACTGCCCTAAGCCCAGACTCCTGCATCTTTCCACACGTAGAAAAGAGCTAAAACCGTCAATTTGAGATACCTGTTTTTTGTGATTAGCAGTAATCTTTTGACGTACCACTACATGTTTTTTGTTTTGGTTTTGGTTTTGGTTTTTTCCAGTAAAAGCTCCTATATATCCTGGTTCCTACCTTAACTCTTTGGCATAGTCCCTCAGAGCCATCTGGGAGGCTGCCTTCCCAGGCTAGAGTCCTCAGTGATGTCCTTGAATAAAACAAAATTCTCAACCTTTAGGTTGTGCTTTTTGGTTTTTTTTTTTTTCAGTCAACAATGTTCAGGGACAAGTGTTAGGGCTGTATCCAGCTAAGGGGCAGCTCTGGAGCCTAAGTCAAGGACTCTGGGACTGGAATGTGGTGTGGGACTATGGCTGGAGGCGTAGGACCTGTAGGATTGACAGATGGGGCACTGTGGCTGCAGCCTCTGTGGGGCTTTAATCAGGCTGGGCAACTGTCCCGACTTGCCTCTGCAGCTCTGCCTTAAGAGAAGCAGTTTTTCACGCAGATCCATAGGTCCCAGGTCATCCTTTGAGCCAATATAAAAAGACATTAAAGGTCCTTACCTGAGTGGTGTGGCACGCAAGGTAAAGCAGACTAAAATGGTTTGCTTCTCTATTATAGATGGATTTTTTGTGATCACCTGATCTGAACACATACAATGAGTCTTTTGAGCTCATTCAATCATTCACAGACATCTGAGAGCCTATTGTGTACCGCTGCCTTTGTGGAATAAATATATCAATGTGTGGCACTGAACACTGTTATGTGTGTATGTATATATAAATGTGTTTGTGTATAAACACAATGAGGAGCATTGAACAATCAAACCTGTGATCTCAGGTGGATTCTTTAGAATCAGAAAGTGGTGGGACAGGCGGAGGGGAAGAAGGGAAGCCAACCAGAAGTAGGGATTTATAGACTATGCTTGAGCTGCAAGAGTAAATGGTTCCAAGACCCTGAGACCTTTAACCTAAGCAACTGACCAGAAAGAGAAGCAGGTCTGGGGAGCGGGTGGGAAGAGACTATGAACCCGCTTTGGACAGAGCGGTTCTGCGGTGCTTTGAGCTGTCTGCAGGCGGCAGTGTCAGCGTCAGCGCCTCCAACTGCTCAGGAGTCACCTGTCTTGGCGAAGGCTGAGGCTACGGAGTGGGGGAAGTTCTGCAGGAAAGGGACAAACGTTTGAGGACTGCCCTAATTTAAGGAGCAGATGAAAGAAGGAATCCAGTAAAGATGACCCAAACATGACCAAGGAAACCAGGATATAGTATACAAATAACTAGGTCTTTGACATTCAAATACACAAGCACGTATACTGAGCAAAGAATGGTGCCGTTACAACCAGCGCTGGCTCAGGACGAGCCCCTGACTATTCATTAGATGACATTTTAGGGCTCCACTCTTCAAGAAAACTAACTAGTCATGGAAAGAGCTCGATCGGCTGAGAAGTTACTGTCTTATCTGTTTGTTCTATTTGGTGTCTATCACCTCAACCGTCAAGATATTTCCTTACAGCAAACAGATCTTGCCTTCGTGAACATTTTCCCCTATTCAGTCTCTAGAATCACACAGAATAATTGACCTCATTAACCACAAAAACTTTATTCATGAGCCTCGTGACCAAGATACTTTCTACCTTCAGTTGAAAAAAAAAAGCCTGAAAGTGCCTGCTGTAAGACGGTGGGGAGTCACCTGCCCTAGGCAAACCCCACCCCAATTAAGAATATCTACTTGAAGACTAGTAGAAGGAGTCTCCGTGCAGTTCTGTAATGAACAGGGGAATCGGATCAACACAATGGCCTGAATGCCAAATACTGTATTTAAAAGACTGCTTTTAGGCTTCCTAATAAAGGTAAAAGTGTTTAAGGAAAAATTTACTGAACCGTTTACCTCTTGCCTCTACCCACCCCTCTCACCAAACAAACTACCAACTAGGTTCAGAGTATCTTTTTAGGTAAACGTAATAACCTTAAAACAAGAATCTCAAAGCTGAGTATCTCCAGCATTGTACCATTTTTTCCTTTACAAATGGTAGGACAATGCTATTTAACAATGAGCCTTACTGCTATTACTATAAAGACTTTGGGCCAATATTCACCATCTGCATGCTGTCAGAAAGCCTTAGTGCCATAAATACGTATTTTATCTCACTGTGTGTGGTTTGTGGCTAGATAATGAAGACAATGATTGCACTGTAATAATGTTTTGATGAAGAGTTGTAATAATTTTGAAATGTCGTCTAAGACTAACCCAGGTTGGAAACACTGACTTTAAGAAAGCATCCAGTGATTGCTACAAAATGGGAGGTTTCAGACTTGAGAAAGTACTGTTTGTAGCAAAAACAAATTGACTAGAAACTCAGAATAGAAATTTGACTCATCTGTATGAAAAACAAGCTTACGTTTTTGGGTGTAGTTAATCACTGGTACAATAAAATCATTGTTATCTATGACATAAAAGCCTTACTTATTTTTTAAATGAACTTTCAGGTCTTGGTTACTATACACACTCTGCAAAGTTAACATTCTCAGTACTTGTTAAGGGCCCCTGAAAGTATAAACGCTGAAGACTTAAATGACCACTTACAACCAGGGTCATAGTTAATCATTTTAAAGCTTTGAAGTTCTCATGCCAAGCCCCAGCTCTGACTCTTTTCATTAAGTCTTTGAAGTTTCTGTCTCTCTGTTACTAAACAAAAACATTTCTCAACTTCCAGTTTTGTAAAAGTTTGTTGGCAATATTAAAAATTTTTTAATGGTTTTATGCATGTCATTATATATTTCATTAAAAAAATTCACCCTTGTACACGTGAATGTCAGTTTCTATTATGTCCATTGCTAACAATTCTGCAGGCTAATCTTTCTCCCAAGTAAAGAATGCACGTCCTCTGTTTACCTGGTTCACTGCGAAGGTGATCTGATCGTACACCTCCCTTTGCGTGTACACTGCGTATGTGTCATCCATTCGATCCATATATCCTTTTAGGAAGAGGTGTTTGAATGCTATAGTGTTCTCTTCCTTGAAAGCTACCACCATCTGGTTACTTAGCCCAAAAAAGATCAGCTTAAAAGAAAAAAAAGAAGTAAGAGGGTGAAAAAGTAATGAAATAAAAGGTCTCCATATAATGCCAATTTATCTATTCAAGATTCGATGTCTAATTAATTCCGAATATGTCCAATAAAAATTAAAGTTTTGGCAGCTGTGAATTAATTTGTCCTGAAATATAAGGTGGGTTTCCAGTTTTTAAACAAAAGAAAGTGACTTTTCCTGTTTTCAGCACTTATTTTCATGTATGGTCTCACTTATGACATTGTCCCCACCAACAAAAGCTTTAGGAGTTCAAAGAAGTCCTTTAGGAATTCTTAAGTTCAGAGATGCAAGGTAACTTTGACTAAGGAAGTGGGAAGGTTTCCGTAAGGGAGAAAGAGTAATAGAAACCCTGAAGTATGTGCAGAACTTGGGCAGGGGACATGGGAGGAGCACGGGGGAAAGGCTAGGAAGGTGGAGTGGAACTTAGCACTTTGGGGGGACACTGAGGCATAATTCAATTTGAGAAATAGCAAAAAAAAAATGTCAGCAGAAAAACTGGAGACAGATGGTGCAGGGGTTTGAATGCTAAGTGGAAGAGTTTAACATGAATTCTGCAGGATAGCAAGAAGGCCTTGAAGCAGGTGCACAATACAATGTGAGCGCTGTCTCACATAAGCCTAAGTCCTATCACCAAACTGTATTCCTAGGGCTAACTGCCAAAACAGTAACAAGAAGACCGAAAATAAAAATATTCTTTCAACTTGTCTCTAAATTAAAGTATATTAACATAACATATCCTTCGTATTCATGCAGGATTGGCCCCTGAGTTTTACATAAAACTCAGTTATTTACACACAAAAAAGTTGTTTAATTGCACTGCTGTCATATTCATATACACTCTCCCATCACACCCACACCCTACTGTACTCCAAGTTCTCTTTTACCTTCTCTTCCCTCCCAAACCACTTCAATCTCTCTTTCTCTCTCTCACACACTCTCTCTCTCTCTCTCTCACACACACACACACACACACACACACACACACTATATGTTTAGAACATATACTTTGACTTAGGTCCCAGGGTGAGAGGCAAGGTGTATTTTATATGGAAAAGGGGAACAACATTGAACCCCCTATGTGCCATACAGTATTACAGGTACTTTCTTCATAGTAATCCCAAAGTATAGTTCCTAATATACCCATTTAACAGGTAAGTACATAAAGACTCAGAAAAGTTAAATAATTTTTATAAGTCATATCAGTAGGAAGTGTATAGTCAAAATTTGAACCCAAGTCTAACAGACTAAATCCAAGCTCTAGCCATCCAATCATGTATACAAAGCACCCAGGTCTGTTTGGGGAGAAACAGAGACAGTAGACCAGTCTTTTCCCCTCTCATGTCCCCTTGTGATGTACACCCTGCACCCCGCACATGGCATCACTTTTCGCCTAATTCAACTGCCATTTCTGAAAAGCCTCTTTAAGTTGTGTCCTGTTTAAATCCCAGTAAGATTGACAGCTTGATATTCCAGGCATTTCACATCTATTAAGCTGATAACCAAAAAGCCTCCAGAGAATTCCCAAAGACATTTTTACCTATTCAAGCACACGAGTACCTCCACGTGCCGGCACTGAGCTAGGTCCTGAGCATACAGAAGACACAGCCTTGCCCTCAAGGACCTAGTGGTTGGCAGGAGTCCCACTGGCAGAGAGAGAACTGCTATAATTCAGAGGCTGAGCCAGGCAGCGGGAACAGGGAAACTGTCAGTAGGGTGCCTATCATCTTCGACATCTATTTTTTTGCTGCTGCTCCAGACACAAAATCTCCAGCTTAACAGGAGTACCACCTTTTCTCTGAAAAGAGGAACTCTGTAATCAAGTCACCTTAATTTGCTCAATTGGACAAAGTATGTAATATTTGTTTGATTGCTCCAATGTAAATTAAGGAAATATCACAATTAACAAAAACCCTCGGTTACTTTCAAAAACTTACCTAAATGCCTTTTATATGCTTATTACTAACAGGCTTAACATCTTAAACTGTTGGTCAATTTCCTCTTGACCATCCTAGGAAACACAGGAAGGTTAGATGAGCTCCCTAAAAGATTTAGGAGTAATTAAGGATATAAGTCCTAGAGGGCATAAAATCTGAGTTTCAGTCTCCGTTCTACTCTTCTAGTTTCCTGACTATGACAGGTTATTTTTCCTCACTAAGCCTCAGTGTTCTCAACTGTGTAATGGGGATACCACTGCCTACCTCTGATTTAAGAATTAAACATGATGGTGTAAAATGTTTAGCCCCAAACATAGCAAACATACAAGTGGTATCTATCACTCTAAGTAGAAAATGTTTATGTTCAGCTGATACAGTTTTTCCCTCCTACTTATCAGAAACAACACAGATAGTTTTTTTCACTATTTGATACATGTATTATCACCTGGAAATTAAGAATTTCAATTCTAACTTGCCAAATATTATACTGAGAATTGAGCATCTATTTTATGTTGATATCTTAGAGAGAGAGAGCCTGCCTCTAAAATCTTGATTCTGTCACTGACTAGTCCTGTGGCTTTTTAAAAAACCCTATAAACATCAGTTCCCTCTTCTGTGAAGTGAAGGACACCAGTACTTATCCAATAGGAGTGTTGATGAAAATTGAATGAAATAATGTCCTGGGAAAAGGTAACCACTCAAATGTTAGTCTTCTTTACACAACATCAAGCATCAGAAACTTGGACAAGAACTTTCATCAACTTCCATTTGATTGTAGAAAAAGCCTTAGCTTCTAACAATTTAAAGCATTTGTTCTCAAAAATCAGTTAAGATTAGTGATTTAGTTTAAAAAAATCTCCTTGAATACCAGTTGTTTACTCATGCATTTTTCACCAAATCACAGAAAGTATTAATAAAGATAAATCATCACATCTATTTTTCCTATTAAAATCTGCTTTTATTTTTGTCCTTTTGCTTTTAACAAGAGATAATTACTGTCACTAGCAAGAAAACACACCTTCACAAGAATAAATCATAAGTATATATATACATATATATGTAAAGAATCACAAAATATAATTTTCCCCAAAAATGTTAAGAGAAGCCAAGGAAATGATATTTGACATCTCCTAAAATGAAGTCTCAAATTTCACCCCCTATGCTACTCCTTTTCAGTTGGCCCCACATTCTCCCACTGCAGGGCTCCTGTGATCACAGGGATGTGAGAATCCAAGTATCTGCCTCAGCTGAAATCCTGAAGTTTCTGAAGACAGAGAAATTCTCAGGAAACTAACTAGGAAGGAAAAGAATCCTCTGGTTGGGCAACAGCTGGTTTCCACGGTTGATATAGAAACCTTTAGCTAAACTTCTTGATTGGAAGCCAAGCCAAATATTAACATATTCTTTTCCTGAAAAGTAATTACATCATGTGACTAAAATTATAGCCTAATTAAAGTTGAGAAGGAAAAACGTTAGGGGAAAAAAAATCCCCAAAATCTTCTTCACAAATATTGAAGAGAGAAGGGTGTAAGATTGTATGTCTCCTTATTTATTGTTCTTTATCATGCATACAGTTAAAAGTTATTAAAAAAAAGAAAAACACCAGTGTCCATAGTCCTCTTTGTTAGTAAGAGAAGACTTCACTAAACTCATGATCCGAGATGCTTACCTGGATAGTCACCATTACAATTTTTAGAATTTGTATGGCAAGTTTCCATGGTTTTCTACCTCGAGCCCAGAACTTCTCACAAGGATTCATGAAAAAAAATTTGAGTTTTCGCCTCATCTGATCTTCTAATAGAAGTTCCTCCGAGGGAGATGTATGCTGATTAAAAGTGCAGTGATTTTCCTCTTTGTGAGAGCGGCAGCTACTTACAATGTCCTCAGGATTTGCCATCTCTGAGAGGAAAACAAGAAAAAACAACTGTAAGTGAAGGCAAAATCGATGTTCTGTTGCTATTGCAGGATAGCTGAAGAAACCCAAACAAAAGATCTGCTTTCAAATAAGCACCATTGTGCTAAACTGTACTTTTGATGTTTACAGAATCAATTAGAATGTAGCACATCATTTTGGTTCAGTTACTAAGTGAATTTTTACCCAATTGAAAATTACCAAATTCAAGAGCTGCTATTAATAAAAAATTACACGTACGTACATAGAGTATGTATATGCTTTCTGCCTCATTCAGTCCTGAAAGCCCACGTAAGGGCTTCAGAAAGTAGGTGGACTCTGAAATTATATGCAAAATTTTGCAGATATATGGATATGGCCACTTTTCCTAAGGAGATGCAGTTTCATCAGATTACTAAAACAAAAAAAAATTAAAACCATTGAGTTAAAGGTAAAAGTTGTGCTGTAGAGAACCAAGATCTTGCTTGGTTTCTAATCCTGATTCTACAATGTGACTCTTCTGTCACCTTAGGCAAGTCACTCAGCCTGTCTGAGCCTCAGTGTTCTCTTCTGCAAAATGGGAATAAGAATATCCACCCTCATATGTTTCTAGCGAGCCTGCAATGAAAACGCAAACAAAGCCCTTGCATACGGTCTAACACTAAGCAAACAGCCTCACTTTCCCTACAGCCCCAGCAGATGGAGCAGCTTCCTGAACAGTCAACAAGGCTCTTGAGAGGCAGTGGAAGCCTCAGAGGACTTACAATGGAGGTCTGCAAAGAAGAACTCAGAATCTCAATTTAAGTCCAAATCCCAATCAGCCACATCACTTGTACTAGCTTTTTATTGAAGGCCTTATATTTATTTTATGTAGCACATTTTACTTTTCAAAGCACTTCATACCTACTTTTTTTGGTCGATTTGAAAAGGATGAGGCTGGTTTTATTGCTTTCATAGTCAGCTTATCCAAAGTGATAAAGTCTCTCCAGAAGCTGGAACCTACCTTGGATTTTCCCTCAGACTAATATTGATATTATGGAAGCCTGTTCAAAGTAAAATACCCCAAACCACCAAGGAGAGTAGAGTTCCTTTTTACAGACTAGAAAGGCTGGCTCTATTTGATAATTTTTACCATAACTTCTATTCATAGATTGATGGGGGTGTGGTGGGATTCAAACTGTATTAATACAATATCTTACAAGTCACTACTTAGGTGCTTTCCAGGTCTAGAATGCAACATTTGGTTCTGAATCAAAACATTCTTAGCAAACCCAACATCTGCAAACAATAGATATTGGCTATAAAAATCTATCCGTGGGGAAAGTTGTAAAATTCTTGATAAATAAAAGATTAATAAGGATATTACTGAGTCAACAGAGCCTAAAGCACGTTTACAATAACATATGCAGTACCTTAAAACGAAATAATTATAATAGAATTCATTAAAGTATGGTTGGTGTGTGTGTGTTAAAATGCCTGTCAAGATCTGAGTACAGTAACTTTTAGGTAAAGACCTATGGAGAGAAAAAGTTAATCCCTTAGGGCTTCTCATTCAAAAACATTTTTGGTTCCTTCTTCAAAAAGGTATGACATTTAACTAGCATTTAAAGAGACTTTACCTCTGGGAATTATAAGAAAGATGATTTTCTGTTCACCAGAAACTCGCATACGAACTCCAACATAATAATGAAGTTGTTAATAATGCAGCATGTTGGTGAATGACAGATTTGAGGTCACATTCAGCCCTTTCTATTTTGGTACAGGGGAAAATTAAACTTTAAACAAACGAGCCACACGACGTGTAACAGTACCCATAGGAACAAAGTAAAAAGAGCCAACCACGATTAGTGTATTCAGCACATAGCACCACGCTGTCCCGGAAGTAAGACGTTTCTTTCACGAGGGCTGATCGCTCAGCTTGCTGCAAACCTTAGCTTTGCCACGTCACAGAAGCCCCTCTGAAGGTGCACTTTAAAACCTGCCACTGCCCAGACCCCTAGCCGCCGACCGTGTCGGCCAACACGCCTCCACAACCGCCCGGGGCGCCGCGCAGGTGGAGATGCGGGTCAGGGGAGAGGCATGCTCGCAGAGTCTACAGCTAACACACCGAGGGGAGTTATTCACAGCGGGGAGAGGCTTAACTAGACTGAACTGCAGAAAGTTAAAGAAAACCAGGGAATATATGTAAACAGCAAAGCCCTCAGAGTTGACGACAGGCACGCGAGCTGCCCACGCGACCCGAGCCCGGCTGGGTCCCCCAAGCCCATCCGCCCCCTCGAACACAGGGACACTCCTCGTCAGGAGAGGCTGGCAGCGCAACCTGCAGGCCGCCTGCGAGCCCCTGGCCGCACGCAG